AAGTACCTGCTAGAGCTCAAGACTGCCCAGCAGGCCATGGGAGCTCCCATCGGAGCAGGAAGGGGCCTTAGACAGCGTGGAATTCAAGCTTCTCATTTTTCAGAGGGAAAAACTGAGGACTAGAAGCTGGCATATGACTGGGGGTCCCAAGGTATTATGATCACTGTTCTTTATCCAAATACAGCCCCCCGTGATGTTCCCGCCTTGTGATTTCTCTGAAGATGCCCCCAGGGGCCTGAAATGTTTGAAACTAGAGACTCAGTCACTTGAGCAGGGAGGTGGGAGGTGGAGGGACGACAGGCCCATCGGGGGCTCCTGGGTCTGGGGCCTCTAACCTGGACCAGAGGGAGGAGGACATTGGGAGAGAAAGACAGACACATGAGAGAGGAGGGGGCAGAAAAAAGGAGTCTCTGCTGTTAGTGGGAGTCTCCTCTGCTGTTCCCTGGTCTCAGATGGACAGACTGAGGCAGGAAGAGGGGCAGGACCAGAGGGCCTCCTGAGCTAGAATCCTACTTGTGCCATCTGCTTGCTGTGGGTCCTGAGCAAGTCATTTTACCTCTCTGAGCCTCTGCTTTCTCATTGGCTAAATGGGATGAGAATCCCAGATGTTGTAGGGTCGACATGAGGCTAAATGAAATCATACATGTGAAATGTCTCAGGAGAGAGTAGACCCTCCACACACAGTGGCTTGTTTTGCGGGTACCCCACTCCTGAAGCCCTTCTGTCCGGGGGCAGCTCGGTATTGAGAGCTCCTGCCCTTCTCAGTGGAAAGGGTGACTTTGTGCGAGGAAGACAGCCCCTTCTATCCTCTGCAGCTCATCACCCAGCTGTGTGCCCGTTTGACACTTGGCTGGGCTTGCTCCTGGGGCTTCTGGGCACTGAGCCAGCTCCCTTCTCCTTGACCCTGGAAGTGGAGCACAGGGTGTGTGTGTGTGTCTGTGTGTGTCTGTGTGTCTGTGTGTGTGTGTGTTAGTGGAAGAATGAGTGTCTGTGTGTGGATGAGTGATTGGGGTGGGGGGGCTTTGTGCTACATGGCTGTCACTGGGAGTGAATTTATGGGAGTGGGTGAAGGGATTGTGGGTGTGTAAGCCATCATACCAGCACTGCACTTTACCACTTACAAAGCAGCAGAGTGCATGGTGCACAGATGCTGAAGCCGGATTCCTGGGTTCAAATCCTGTCTCTACCTTGTGTGACTTTAGGCAAATTACTTACTCTCTTAATGCCTTGGTTTCCTCATCTGTTACATAAGGAAATATTAACAATTCCTCTCCTTTTCTTTTAGGATTACTGTGAGAATTAGATGAGTTAATGTACCTCTAATGCTATATGCCTGGCACATAGAAGAGGCTAAGTAAGTATTAACTGTTGTAATTATTACAACAAAGGACTTTGTGCAGGGAGACGGAGTATATGTCTGTTGCCTCCACTGCTTCCACAGCAACCCCACGACATGGGCAGCGTGGATCTCATGTGGCACCTGAAGACATGGGGCTCTGGGACATTTCTGGCCCCAGGTCACAAAGTTAGGAAAAGGCAGAGCTGGGACTCAAACTGGGGTCCAATAATCTCAAAATTGTTGGTGGAGGGAGCAGAGGGGAGAGATTTGCAGGCAATCTTCTTGCTCCCCTGCAATCCACTCAAGTAGGCAGCTCTTCTGTGTGTGAAACCAGATGAAGGGTGGTGGGAGGTCATCCTCTGAAGTGTTCATCTCCCTGCTTCCCCTCTGCCCGCGCCCCTTACTCCTTTTTCTACCCAGAAAAGCAGGGTTCTTGCTCCAAGCTGGACATCGCCTGCCCCCAGCTCAGCCTCTGCCTGAACCACTGCCAGGTAAACAGCACGTGTCTGGCCAGTTGAGATGCTGCCACAATGTTTGTGGGAAGGTGTCCTGTGTCACACCTGTCTTCTGAGGTTGCTGGGGGTGGGGGGAAGCACACTGATACCCAGATGTGATGACACCTGCAGGAGGTTGAAAAGGAGAACCTGAGCTAACACACTGCTGTTTATGTATCTGCCCATCAATTTACTTTCATCCGCTCAACGACTATTCACTGAGTCTCTATCACTTGCCATGCACTGCTCTAGGTGTTAAGATGCTCTGTGAGTGAACAAATCAGACAGAAAGTTCTCTCTAGGCAGTTTATGCACTACTGGACAATAAACAAAATAAATAAGCAAGTATATTCTGTGGATGTTAGAGGGAGATCAGGGTCCTGGAGAAAAAAGAAAACAGAAAGGGCATAAGGAGTACTAGGGTGGAGGAAGGGGGCAGGGAATGGTGTTGCAGTTTCTACCTGGGACCACGAGCGAGGGCACCACCAAGAGGGCAGCTTGTGAACAGAGAGTTGTGCAAATGCCAGGGGGAGACATGAGGCCATCAGGGGACGGTGTTACAGCCAGAGGGGGCAGCAGGTGCAAAATGGGAGCATCTCTGGTAAGTTTCAGGAAAAGCCAGAAGGCTGGCTTTCTTTTCCTAGAATAATTGTGGACGTCTCCACTGAATTCTGCCTGTCTTCTGAGGTTGCTATGAAATGGCCTAAATATTTTTCTCCCTTCGAGGTTACTTCTTTGTACCGGAATGCCTAAAACCTCCTTGCTTATCCTTGAGTTTCAGTAACTGAACAAGGATACTTTGGTATCATTCTGCATCATTGTTTCTTTTTTTTTTACCGGAACATGGAATGTTTATTCAATCTACAGATTTTTTAAAGGAAGTTTTCTTCTATTACGTCTTGAAATAAATTTTCTGTTCCAGTTCTTGAGTTTCCTATTTGAGACATCAATTATGTTAGATTATCTTCACTTGTTAAAAGCGTGTCTACAGGAGAGATTTAATTTCCAGCTTTGCCTTTTGCTATCTGTGTGATCTCAGACAAGTTATTTAACTTCTGTGGATATAGTTTCTATTTGGAGATAACAATGGAAACTACTTGTGTTTGGAATCCCCAAGACCACACTCAGGTTTAATTCATAAAAAGACTCACAGGACACTAAGGTGTAACACTTAGGTTTACAGGAAATTGACACAGAGTCAAATCAACAAAGGGGAAAAATGCACGGGGTGAAGCTGGAAGGGCACAAGCACAAGCTTCCACATGTCTCTTCCCTGTCCAGTCACAAAGAATCTGCTTGCTTCCCTCAGCCCAGTGCGTCCGAGCAGTTGCCAACCAGGGAAGCTCACTCCTGCCTGGGAGTCAGGTTTTTATTGTGGTCAGTCACATGGGCGTATACTGCCTGCACGACTGACCTCAGTTACGGAAGCCCCAGACCCCAGAGGGAAAGCAGGTATTTCCCTTGTTTAAAATGATTACAGAAGACAATTTAGGTGATACTGACTTTATTTCACACTTCATGAAGTGGGAAGTCTCCATCCCCGAGGGTCCAGAGAACTGCAGAGCATTTACAAGGACCCAGAGTTAGGTTTTGGTTTGCTGACATGGCACCCCAGGCCGGAGTGGTTCATCTTGAATCTAGATACTTATTTCAACACAGGCCTGAGATCAGATCCAGACGTTCCTACTGGGAGTTGGGTGTCATGTTGATGATCACAAGAGGAGCCCTGAATCTTTGAGTATTTACCGCCCAGGGGCACAGAGCTGAGCATTCTCTATTCATTAGTCTCAAATGCGTTCACAGCATCCCAAAGAAATGGGGTCGATTTTATAAACAATCCCGTTTTACAGATGAGGGCACCAAGGCCCAGGAACACTAAGTAATTTGCCAAACCCAGGTCCTCCTACTGTTGTTGGGGAGGAAACCTTTCTTTGCTTCCCTTCTAGGTTCCTTGGCTGGTTTGGTAAGACAAACTAGACATAAGACAGATGAACAGGAGAAAACCAGATTTCATAGGTAGAGCATCCCCAAAGACCTGGGACCCAAAGACAGGCAGTTGAGGCTTATATGCCATCCTGAGTGAAGGAGAAGGAAGTGGGGATTGGGGCTCCAAGGGGAGGAAGATAAATTCCAGGAAGATGAGAAAAGCAGATATCTGCTTAACAAATGTTTGCCATGCTGGGCAGGTAGATAAGTGTTACTGATATTAAAAGTTATCTGGGATTAGCTCTCTTCCTGATACAGGCCCTCTATCTAAATCCTTTAGGCGGTTAAGGGAATAGTAATCATCTCTTCCTGAGTCTTTTGGGCCTTGCATGTCTTCAGCTCAAAATAACCAACGAGCCATGTGATATATTTTGAGGGGGAGCACGTAATCCGTTCCCCCTCATGGTGAAATATGCAGTTATAATGCCATGGGGTCCGACAACCCAGGTAAGTTTTTCTCCAGCATAAGATAGGAATTGAGGTTTTCCTCTCCCAAGGGTGTTTGCCACTGGTTTGAGGGTCCTGGCAATTCACTCACATCCAGACCCTAGGGTCTCGGTAGTAACTGGGCGGAGGCAGCATGGTCGTTCCGAGCCTACAAACTTGTGCACACGGCGTGGTGTGGTGCCAGCACGTGGAAATCTAATCTATCACTTCATCCTCAGCGGATGGGGAGAGACTCACGTTTGTTTCTGCAAAAGAAGTCCAGTGACTTGTACTTGTCGCAGGCCACCAGTGTGCGATCATTGCAATGAATTAAGGTGAAGGCAGAGAATTAGGAAGAGGTGCAGGTTAGTGGGAGAGAATGCGGGGCTTCCTGAGATTCAGCTCTTCCCGACCTTGGCTTCTCTGCTCTACTTCCCAAGGTGCGTGGGAAAGGCAGCTTTTCTCTGCGCCTGCTACGCTTCTCCTCCACCCCGTGAGTCTCCTCCAGGTTTGCTATCATATTGTGGTCCTGTGGACCATCTTATAGGAGGGGAAACTGGGGCTGGGGACACACCCGTGACGGTGAGCCTGTTAGGAATGCAGCTTCTCAGGCGTCACCCAGACCTGGGGAATCAGAATGTGTATTTACTTCCACAAGACCCACAGGCAGAGTCAAGTCTGAAAAGCGCTGTTACTGGGCATTTGGCCCCAGCAGGCAGAAGCAGGACCAGGGGAGGTGGGGAGATTGTGCAATAAACAGGACCCAGCCCAGCTCCACCCCTTCCTCACTCCCCTCCTCATTGCCTGTCCCACCCCTCAGCTGGGATATGAAAAGCTCTGTCAGCCCCCAGCTTTCCTCAGAAGCCCTCCTGCAAGGCCACGAACATGAGCCGACTCTGCCTCTCCATCGCCCTTCTTGTCCTCCTGGGCACCCTGGTGGCCTGCACCCCGGGGGGTGAACCCAGCAACCAGGCCCAAGGTAAGTCCTGACCCACCTCTCCTCTACAGGCTGGGGGGAGGGGGGAGTGAGGGGAGTCCGTGGAAGGGGCTGGGGAGCAGGGGTGGGCTTGGTGCCGCCAGTCTTCTCTGGATTTCTCCTGGGAAGTTGGGCAGCTTAAACTCCAGGGACATTTCATGACTCTAAAAAAGAAATCATTACACTTTCAGCTTTTAAAACAAATCATCCTGCCTAACTCTACAAGACCGGGGACCCCATCTCTGAGACTCTCTATTCCTGGTCTCTGCTGTGTCCCTGAACCTCACTGTAGTGTAATAAAAAGGTCAATATTTGATCTTTCTCCTGGCTCCAAGCCCAGGCCTCCCGAAACCCTTGGAATTTACTGTCTTTTGTATGGTAATGAAAGTGACCTCAGATAGCTTCAGGATGGGGCTGGACTCCAGAAAAATCCCATTTGGTGATTAGAGAGTTAGAACCCTCAACCCCCAGCACCTCTGGGGAAAGGGGAGGGTACTGAGGGAGAGTTCATCCACCAGTGGCCAATGATTCAATCAAATTGCTTACCTATTGAAACCTCAATGAAAAAGAACCGTAAACTTTGGGAATCGGAGAGCTTCCAGGGTGGTGAACATTCGAGGTGATGTGAGGGGGGACTGTCCTGAGAGGGCATGGAGGCTCTGCACCCCTCAACCCCCCTTTGCCCTATGTATCTCCTCCATTCAACTGTCCCTGAGTTTTATCCTTTCTATCAATAATAACCCAGAACTGTCAGTAAAGGACTTTCCTGAGTTCTGTGAGTCGTTCTAGTACGTTATTGAAAGTTGAAAGTGGGGTCCCAGAGCCCCCAGATTTATAGCCAATTGGTCAGAAGTATGTGTGACCCAGGGACATGTAGCTGTCATTTGAAGTGGTGGCAATCTGATGGCGTTGAGCCTTCAACCGCTGGGGTCGGCATTAACTCCGCGGATTTAGTGTCTGAAGTGAGTTGACTTGGGGGCCGCCCAGTTGGCGTTGGGGAATTAGTGGGTGTTGGTAGAGACACTACATATTTGGTGTCAGGGAAGAAATCCAGACTCATACATCCCTGGGCTTTGGTGGCTGGGATGAGGCTCAGGTACAGGGGAGTAAAAGTGGGGGGCAGTGCTCCCAGAAACTCTTACCAGTTATCTATATTTTAAGAGTTCCCTGCAGATGTCAGGTGCTTCATCAAATGGGTTGTAACAGGATCATATACTGACCTGACCTCACTACTCACCTGCTCTGGGACCTGAGGTCAGTCACTTTTCTGCAATTTCCCCACCTGTACAAGAGATAACTACCAAACAAGTTCTTACAAGGGATTATCCATCATGAATATAGAGTCTTTTCACATTTCATGCCCAATAATGTCCTTTTTCCACCAAGATGTCTTAGTCTGAAAAGATTTGTCTACCTACCTCCTTCCTTCAAGAAAAAATATTTAGGGGTCAATAATGACATTATTTCTCCATTATTGTTGCAAGAAACGCAACACTTCTGTGACCTTGCTCTTGGGGTCAAGGCTGTGCTTCTCCCAGGCTGTTAGAATATTAGTAAAAACTCAAGGCCCTTCCCCTTCCCCTCATGTCTGACTATTATTTTATTATCCTCTCAGGATACAGAACATTAGAGCTAGATTCATAATTATCCAGGCGCGCTGCTATCGAATGCACATTTGTGTGCCTGACGCACAGTGAGGCCAAACAAACCGAAACGTGTGAGTTTGAAGCAGAGAAAGGTTTATTGCAGGGCCATGCAAGGAGACTAGGCTGGCTCGTGCCTTAAAAACCCCAAACTCCCCCATGGTTTTCAGGGAGGGAGAAGTTTTTATAGGCAAAATTTGGGATGAGAGCTGCAGGGTGTGTGACTTTCTTCTGATTGGTTGGTGGTGAAGTAACAGGGCAGTGTTCCAGGAATCTTGTGCTCAGCCAGAAGTTACCATCCTCCACCTGGGTGGGGGACTTAGTTCCTGCAGAAGAACTCAAAGATATTGATAAGTATATTCCTTCTGGAGGAACCTGGACACTATTGTTTCTTGACTGCTTCTCCTTGGTTTCTGCATTCCCTCACATCCCTGATTAGCAACTGTTTGAATCTGCTGTTTGGTATTCTGGAAGGTCCAGGAGGCTGAAGCCTTTTTCCTGCAAATAAGAAATGGAGGTGGAGGGCAACACAGAAAGGCTTTTGTGCCCAGAACCCCACAGGGTCCTGCTCAGTTTCAGTGCCCCCTCATCAAATAGACATTTAACTAACAAGAATTTAATTGTATTCATCCTACTCAGTGTCGGTGCACTTGGCATGAGCATGAAATGGGAGATTCATTCATTTGACAAATATTTATCAAACCCCTACAAGCCACTGTTCTTGGTATGGGGACGCAGCTGTGAATAAAACAGCACAAGAACCAGTGCCCTCTAGAAGGAAGACAGACAATTGAGTAGGTGGAAATAGTATACCAGGTCATGGCAAGTGTCTTGAAGGTAGAGAGTGATGGGGATACAGGAGGCTGTGCTCTTTCTGTAGAGGGTCAGTGAAACCTTCTGGGATAAGGAGGCGTTGAGCAGAGGCTGCAGAAAAACGTGCCTGGTGTGTTTGAGCCACAGTCAGGACCAGGGTGGCTGGAGATAAGTGGGTGAAGGGGAGGGGAGTGGAAGGGGATGAGGCAGAGAGGCCATGGGGGCAGGTCCTGGCCAGCTTTGTAGGACTTTATAAGAATCAGAATTTGACTCTGAGAGAGATGGGGAGTCACTGAGGGATTGGTCACGGGAGCAATGGGTTAGGACTCAAGTTGTAACAGGATCCGTGGGGCTGCAGTGCGGAGAGTGGCCTCTAGGGGGCGAAGGGCAAAGACAGAGGCCCATGGGCAGGCTGCTGCTGTGGTCCAGGTGAGCCACGATGGAGTGTGTACCTATGTTGTTCCCTGGGTTGATCTCAGTTCTCTTGAATAACATGAATGAGTTGCTCTGTAGAGGATAATTCTGTTCCTTGATTAAACAATTAATTATCTTTCCTTTGCTGTTTCCTGATACATAAATGCAGTAGTATGTGTTCATTATCTAAAACTTAGACAATAAAGAAAAACATAAAAAAGTAAATCAAGATTTCCAAATCCTGCAACCCAAAGGTTACAGATACATCCTTCTACTCTGAGGTCCTCATGTACAGGAACGAATTGACTTGCTCATCCAGAGATGAGGAGGGAACAGTGCAGCCCCGTGTCCTCTGGAAGCACAGCCTTCCCTTTCCTCACCTCCTCAGCCTCCAGAGAGGACGTGCTCCACCTCCATGGCAGGGCTGGGACTAGGGCAAGGTGAGGGGCACTCACCTCCAGCGCAGAATTTAAAGGGAGGCTAAAAAACTTATAATGCAGATAAATCATAATTGATTGCAATAGTGTAAAAACTCAAAAATTAATGCAAAAATCCACCGTGCACTCAATGTGAATGTTTTAAATAAAGACAGGATGTGACCCTGCACTTGCCTGACCTGCCTGTTTGCTTCACTCTAATCCTGGCCCTGCTCGGCTGAGACCAAGAGCTTAACATTGAGACCTGAATACGCCTCATTCCTGATTGCAAGTTCATGTGAAAATATTATCTTCTATCAGATGTAATTTTCTGCTTCAAAGAGGAAACTCTTCTTTTAAATAGAGACTTGCCATTCCTTATGTTTAAGAAAGCAACTTTCTAATCGATGCCAAGGTTTTCTCATAAATGAGAGCTTTCCCTCTGCTCTCTGGACATTTATGTGATTAGCCTGTGTTTCGCAGGATTTTCTTTTTGGTTAATTGAGGCATAGAGAAGTCTGTGGCTGAATAGACACATTGAATGATTCCGAGAACTTGAGTTCCTATCTTAAATGTTCATCAAGATATTTTACATGTTGACAACTTATGTCTAAAATATATAATTATTTTTCCAATTTCTGACCAATACACATTTTAAAACATTACATAGAATAAATGTGTTCTTGATATACTACAGTTCTAAAAGGAAACCATTTACTTAATCTGAGTCTCCAGAAAAGAAGCATCATATGTCCCAATGTTGGAAAACCTGAATGTGTTGATGTCCAGGGTGGTCCCTGGGGACTCGTCTGTTGTGTATTGGTGTGGGTGGGTTGAAGGGCTTTAATGGGCAATTGTGTCCAGAGGTGATTTTTAGCTTGGACACTGCCCTGGAACATTAAATTAAAATTGAATGAGTGCATCTAACAATTACTCTAATAACTAATATTTATTGAGTATTGATCGATTGCCAGTTACTTGACGGACGTCATCTGTAATCCTCTCAACAAGTCCCTAAGGTTGAGATTATTATGCTCATTTCTATGATTAGGATGCTGTGGCTCAGAGTGGTTACTTGTCTTCCCTAAGGTCACACAGCCAAAGAGTGGGTCCTCTAAGACCTTAAAGAATATAGTTCAGGGATTTGCACTAGATGTTCCTTGAGACTTGGGGGTACTGGGGTAGGAAGGGGTGAGAGAATGGCTGGGGATAGGTAGTGAGAGGGCTGAGGATGGGGCTCCATCCCAACACCCAGGTTTCTTTTAATAAGTTTTTCTTTGAAAGAAGGGATCTGTTGCTAAAAAAGGGATTAACACTCATATCTTCACGGCAGGAGTTTTAAGCTTTACAAAACTAATATGTCACTGGATGGAGTGCTTCTTTTACTCCACAATAGGCTGCAACCATTTTCTGATGTCAATACATATTCTTCTACAATATAAATTTACTCATTATAAAAATTGTGGTATATTTTATTTTAAATATTTCTTCTTTCGTAATTGCAAAAGGAATATATGCTCATAAGAACTTGAGAGGATATAAAGATGTGTAAGGAAAGTTTTAAGACTCCTCTTCTTGCTATGTGTTTGTTTTTCCAAACCACCAAGCAATTCTCGAATTCTCAGGGAACACTGACTGGCTTTCCTACCATCATACCAGCTCTAAGGCCAGGAACCTGGAAATAATGTCAGATTCCACAGGTTAAGGACTGTGTCCCACAGGTCTCCTTCCATCTTCAGATGCCAATTACAAGTCCAGCTTGTCACTCATGCTTCTGACCAACAACTACATATCAGAGGTTCCCCCAAACGCCGTGGAGTTAAATTAATTTGCTTGAGTGACACAGACCCAGAGAAACGTTTTACTTACAAGATTAACAGTTTATCATAAAAGGATATAGCTCAGGACCACCATATGGAAAGGCTGCATAAGGCAAGGTAAGGGGAAAAGGCACGGAGCTTCCATGCTGTCTCTCATCAGTACACACTCCCCAAATCTGCTCCTGTTCGCCAACCAGGAAACTCTCCAAATTCAATGCTTTTGCGTTTTATGGGAGGCTTCATTACATAGTCATGACTGATTAAATCATTAACCGTTGGTGACTGATAAACTTCCACCCACTCTCTTCTCCCTGGAGGTAGGCGCTTTGGGATGTCGGTGAAAGTTCAACCATCTGATCAGGCACTTGTTTCCCCTGGCAACCAGTCCCCATCCTTGGGTTACCTAGGGGCTTTCCAAAAGTCACCCTCTTCACATAACTGAATACACCTTTATTGCTCTCCTCACTTAAGAAATTCCAAGTGTTTTAGAAGCTCTGTGCCAGGATGGAACAAAGACCAAATATATATTTCTTATTATAAATCACCATATCACACCCCTCAAAATTCTAGTATTCCCGCCCCCATGAAATAGCCAAAGTAAATACACTGTATGTTTTTCTATGCCTTTCTCCATTACAGCATGATTCTTTTTTTTTTTTGTGGTACGCGGACCTCTCACTGTTGTGGTCTCTCCCGTTGCGGAGCACAGGCTCCGGACGTGCAGGCTCAGAGGCCATGGCTCACAGGCCCAGCTGCTCCGCGGCATGTGGGATCTTCCCGGACCGGGGCACGAACCCGTGTCCCCTGCATCGGCAGGCGGACTCTCAACCACTGCGCCACCAGGGAAGCCCTACAGCATGATTCTTTCACACTTTTTTTAATAGTGGAAAATTTCAACCATACTCAAAAGTACAGAAGATTATATAGTAAACCCGATGTACACATTGTTCACTTTTAGCAATTATCAACATATGGAGAATATTGTTTAGGTATGCCCTTTTTCTTCCCCCAGAGTTTTTTAAAGCTAATCTAAGGCATCATGCCAGTCATTCCATAAATACTTCATGAAGGGTGTATGGTTTTCTACGTCATCACCATGTCATCCTCACACCTAACAACAGTAATAATAATGCCTCAGAATGCAGACCATTAAATGGAGGTTTCACATTTCAAGCTCTGCTAATGCCCCACCCCCAGCCCCATCATTCTATTTCAAGACACTGTTGGCTTCAGTTGCCGACCCTGTAGATGGAGCTGTGATCACCGTTCTCATAACTGACCCAGAGCCCGTCCCAGTCCCTGCAGCCCTGCGCCCTGCCTTCTGCCTGGAGCCTCCCTACACGGGTCCCTGCAGGGCCCTGTTCATCAGATACTTCTACAACGCCAAGTCTGGGCTCTGCGAGACATTTGCTTACGGTGGGTGCAGAAGGAAGCAGAACAACTTCCTGGATAAGGAGGACTGCAACAGCACCTGTGGTGGCCGCAACAGGGCCCGGGGTAAGAAAGGGAGCAGGGCAGGATGGGAGGGGAAGGTCTGGGGAAAGAGGTGGAGCTCAGGGGGCCACACGCCATTCACACCTGCACAGTGTCTTTTCCCCCTCACTGCTGCCCAAGAGAAGTGGCTGCAGTGTCCTGTGAAACCACAGACTGAGCACATCCTCCATGCACCAGCTTGGCAGACGGTCACAACTGGAATCGCCCTCTAGATAATCGAAGCCACTCATCTCCTCTCCTTTTTCAGATGGGAACACTGAGGCAGCCACCCTGCACAGTGGGTCTGCAGTGCTCCTGAGTGCCCCACCTAGGCTTGACAAACTGGTTTTGTTCTCGTTGGTCATCCTAGTGTCAGGAGTACTGTGCTTTCTCGTTTCTGCGATGGTCAAGGCTCCGTCAGGGTGTAGACTATCAAGGTCAGGGGTTTCAGTGATGGCAATCAACAAGTTCCTTTCTTCTTGCAGAGAGCCGGGCAGCTGGGCTCCCCTGAGATGGTGAAGTCCTAGGAGGCCCCACACAGCGCTGGGCTCTGCCTTCTGAAAGAGCTGAGCCTCTTCCTCTGCTTCCTTCTCAGACCTACCCTCCTCAGCAGAACCCTGCGTCTTTCCTCACCTTCATCCCACTCTCCACCATCACTGCTCTCCTTGGAGCGGGCAGCGATGGAAGTTCTGGCACCCAGTTCCGAGCGTCAGTGGTGGCAGAGGACTTTTCAATAAAGAAACCCCTTTTCCCCACAGTGATGTTGAATATTTATCTGTCTGTGGCTTAAATCTTATATTTAATAAATTCTTTTCCTAATTATACTAACTGGAGTGGATTCTGTTATTTGCAAGTAAGGACCTTCACCACTAGGGTCCATGGAAATGGTGGCCCTTCTCATTATTCTGCAGAGCAGCCAGCACCTCCCCTTTTCCTGTCCTCAGACTGGGCCCTACCAGGTATAGGAAGCAAACCCATTACAGCACCATCTACCTCTTAATAGTCACCCCAAGCTACACAAAAACCTGGGTGACAGACACCTCAACATGAAAGCTTTCATTCTTCACTTCTTGGACCAGGTCAAATCTGGGGACAGGTTGTTCTCCTGGACTCTCAGAAGGAGAAAGGAAGGAGCATGAGACTCAGCTGTCTACTTGCCCAAGGAACCTCCTTCCCTGAGGTCCTGTGGTGGGGTGGGGACTGCTACTTCAGTTAAAGAAAAGCATCTCCCCATTTAGTGAGTGCTTGCCATGTGCCAGGCTCTGTGCTTAGCGTATTTCTGGCATTATCTCATTTAATCTTCTGAGAATCCTTTGAAGATGAAATGGAGGTATGGAGATGTGAGTTGGTTTCCTGGAGTTACTGTAACAAAACACCATGAACTGAGTGGTTTATTTATTTATTTTTATTCTCTTCCACTTCTGGGGGCTAGAAGTCTGAGATCAGGGTGTCAGCAGGGACATGCTCCCTCTGAAGGCTCTGGAGAATGATCTATTCCAGGCCATTCTCCCAGCTCCTGGAAGGCCTGGCTTGTGGCAGCATAAGTCCAGGCTTCACATGGCATTCTCCCTGTCTGTGACCTACTTTGCCCTTTTTATCAGGACACCAGTCATATTGGATGGGGGCCCACCCTAATGAACTCTTAACTTATCACCACACTAAAGATCCTATTTCCAAATAAGCTCACATCCTGAGTTCCTGGGGCTAGGACTACAACATTTCTTTTTTGGGTGGGAGACACAGCTGAACCCATCACAGTGAATAAATGGCAGGACCCTAACCATGACAGCCTAGCAGACTGCCCCAAAGCTTTTGTCCTTTGCAGGGAGGAAGATAGCTAAGAGCCCAACTCCCCAGCCAGTCTGTAAGATCCAGAGCCTGGATCTGCCTTAATTTGCAGTTCCTAAGAAGCGGAGGGAAAGTAGTTTGTTGGGTAAGATGGGGGCGGGTAAGAAAGGGCAGGAAAGGCAGGCAACTAACATGGAGTGAGCAAGCCCATCGGCACTGTTAGTGATGAGCTCCCGTGGGGGATGGGCCAGATGGGGTCAACACCTTCCTTGTGGTTGCCTCCCCCAAGAGATACAAGAGCACCGACATACCAACTCCCTGTCACTCATTGGCTGGGGACTTCTGGCTTCCTCTGTGCACAGGCTTCTCGTGTGCCTCCAAGAAGTCCCTCAGGCAAAGAGCTGCAGATACTGGCAGCTGGAAGTCAGCCGGCAACACTGAGGGTGGCAGCGGTCAGTGGGCGGGTGGGCGCACATCTGCCACACTCTGTGGCTTTGAACAAGTTACTGAACCTCTCTGCACCTGTCTTCTTCCTACGTGGGGTTGTCGTGAGGATAAATGAATTAGGACATGCTGAGCCCTTAGACCGGAGAGCCTGGGATGTAATTAGTGCAATTTAAACACTTGCTAGGATAATTACTGACTGAATTATGCTGTCCTCCACTGGAGGAGTGACTCCAACCTCACCTAGAAGAGTTAATGCTGGAAGGCATGTGGGACAGAAACTGATCCAAAGTGCTTATTTCATAGGTGAGGAATTTAGGGCCTAAGAAAGGGAAGTATCTTGCCCAGTGTCACCCAGCGAACAGCTATGAGACATTACAAGAGACTAAACCGCGGCAACATCACTCATTCCTTCGTTCATTCGTCACTCTAACATGTACTGATATTTACTGTCTGTTTTGTGATAGGAACCAGGGAAACAGTAATGACCAAATCTCTGTGAGTAGCTTCCGAATCTATGTGATTACTCACACCCACATCAGTAAATATTCTGAGTGTTCAAATCCCATCTCTATATTATAATTATATGCACCCTGTTGCACTAGTATGTACACTTGAAGTTTTCAACAATATAGATTTTTTTTTTTTGGCCACACCACATGGTACGTGGTATCTTAGTTCCCCAACCCGGGATCGAACCCATGCCCCTGGAAGTGGAAGTGCGGAGCCCTAACCACTGGACCATCAGGGAAGTCCCAATGATATAAATTTTAATAAAGGGTAGACTAGAGAGAAATAAGCAGAAATTTGTAGATGTTTTCTCCTGTCCCCCAGTGCCCCCCACTTAGAGTATCTCTGGACCAGGACAGTCTTGACCTGCAAAGAGCTCCCTGCCCAGCCTAGAAGGCAGACATAGAGTTTCAGAAACATACATGCTGTGGAAGCCAAGGTGGAGGCCCTGGCTGTCACCTGTGAGGTCAAGATCAGCCTCCCAGAAGAGGCAAGGTTTGAGCTGAGTTTGGAAGGGTGAATTGGATTCTATCAGGTAGAGAGAAGAGGAGAAACATGAACTTTGGGGTAAGACAAAGAGGCAGAGATGAGAACAAAGATTCTACTTTCATCCATTTCCCAGACTGGAGCCTGTACTGGTTTCCAAGTTGCTGTTGAGCATCATGAGGAGACCCCAAAGTGTTCGTCAAAGTCCACTCAACACTGAACATAGATGGACCTGGGAGTCCCCTCGCTAGAGAGCAGAGGAAGAGGAGATACCCAGGAGACATGAGGGAAGCACCTCATTTGCATGAGAGCCCTTGTCCTAAAGTTCGAGTTTCCTGGTCCCGTCTGAGAGTCCCAGCTCCTGAGGGGAGTGAGGCAGCTGCCTTTATCATCCCTAAGAAACAGACCCATCAGAGGTGAGTGAAATAGTGAGTGGATGTTGGAATGAAGGAGGGATTGGTGGTGGAAGCAAAATTGGGGAAGCCTGGCTTCCCTGGTGGCGCAGTGGTTGAGAGTCCACCTGCCGATGCAGGGGACACGGGTTCGTGCCCCGGTCCGGGAAGATCCCACATGCCGTGAGCCATGGCAACTGAGCCTGCGCGTCCAGAGCCTGTGCTCCGCAACGGGAGAGGCCACAGCAGTGAGAGGCCCGCGTACTGCAAAAAAAAAAAAAGAAAAAAAAATTGGGGAAGGCCTCTGAATAATTAAATGCTAGAACATTTAGCTGGTAAATAGCCAGCCTCAGCTTTTATACCTCCTCCTATGGAGCGCTCACTTCCTGGGGCAGCACATGCCAGGTGGCAGCATTCATCAATAGAAACTCTTTTGTCCCATTGAATGAAAGAGTCCCCCTCCCATCTGGCCCTGACATCCACACTGGTCCTGACTCTGCTCCCAAGAAACCTACTGACCTATTCTGCTGTCTTTGTCCCGAGACAGTCCTACAGATATTGGGAGATGGCTGTCAGGGAAGTACCCCCCACCACCACCTCTCCCACAAAGTGTCTTTTAGCATCTTTTGCAACATTTGCCAAGTCCCCTCTAGCAGCTTTCAGATTCTCAGGCCTCAAAGTTGTGGAAATCCTTTTGGTTCGGCTCCCTACAATTGGTGCAGAGGCTGATAGGATGGTACCCACCCTCAGGAGGTGCCCCTTTACTGGGTTGGAGGAGAGAAGTTGGTGTAAGAATAAGAGGATGGTCAGTAGGGTTAAGTCACCCTCATCTCTTGCTTCCCCCAGTAAGTCAAGAGCAGTGATAATCAGATAATATGAAAATATGAACAAGTGAATGAGGGTGGCTGAGAGGAGGGGGTAGGATGTAGGTGGGGCAGGAATCCAAGGCTTATGGAGGTATTTCCCAGGATGCACCCCACTTCAAGTTCATTATTAGACCTTCTCAGCTGCAAGGCATTGTGGGAATGACTTGTTCAGAATCCACTGGGTCCCCAGTCAAAAGGAGGTCCCAGCTGTCCCAGGTAGAGCCACTTTGACAATGTTTTCATGCCCCTGCCTCTAGGAAGATGTGGGATGGATGGGCCTTTGAAGAGCAGAGCCTAACTGCCTCACTACAGACGAGGAAATGGAGGCATAGAGACCCTAAACAGCAGAGGTAGTTAAAATAAGAAGGCAGAACTGATTCTGTTACTTACTACCTGATGGTCTTGGGACAATTTCTCAACATCTCTGCGTTTTACTTTCTTTAAATATATATATATATATATATTTTTTTTTAAGAAGACGTTGGGGGTAGGAGTTTATTAATTAATTAATTTATTTTTGCTGTGTTGGGTCTTCGTTTCTGTGCGAGGGCTTTCTTTAGTTGTGGCAAGCGGGGGCCACTCTTCATCGCGGTGCGCGGGCCTCTCACTATCGCGGCCTCTCTTTTTGCGGAGCACAGGCTCCAGACGTGCAGGCTCAGTAGTTGTGGCTCACGGGCCTAGTTGCTCTGCGGCATGTGGGATCCTCCCAGACCAGGGCTCGAACCCGTGTCCCCTGCATTAACAGGCAGATTCTCAACCACTGCGCCACCAGGGAAGCCCAACTTTCTTTAAATATAAAATAAGGATAATGCTTATACTTGTTAATGCTTCCAACCACAGACCACTGGAAACACTTCTGTTCCTAGCTGAACCAGTTGGGTTTATTACTCACTGCAGCAAGGGAGAACTCCCCCACCTTGGGAGCTCTGATAAGGGTAATAGAAATACTATTAAAAGATAAGTTGTTTAATTATAATTAATAAATATTAATTAATTGCAGTGTAATGGAAAAGTACTTGGTTCTAAAAAGAAGTGATTGGC